TGTGGTGAAACTGTGAAGTACAAATTTAATATTTTAATTATTTTATTGCATTCAAGGAAACAAAAAAAAAAAGTGGAAGAATAGTTTAACAGAGCTACTGCAGGCATCCTTTTAATCACATTTCTCTGAAAACAGATGCATCAGTTAGGAATATGGCGGAAGATGGATCAGTTGTTCAAGTGATACTTTACTACTGTGACCAAGAATCAATCATCTTTTAAACAGTTGGTAAGCATCTATTCAATATGAAAAGCAAAGCTCCTTAGGAAAAATGGTAAGAAATTCTTCATGCAAATAAACATGTGAATGTTTAAAATATTGATTTGCCCCTAGAGATCACATTTAATAATAGGTATAATTATCTGTTTTTCCATAATAGACTTCTTAAAAAGTGAGAGTAGACAAAACTAATCAAACTGTGAATAAGAAACTGAGACAGGCATGATGGGACCCACTTGTATTCCCAGTGTTCCTGTAGGCTGAGGCAGGAGGACAACCAGTAAGAGCCCAGCCTGCGCAACTTAGTGAGACCTGCCTCAAAACAAAGAATAAAAAAGGGCAAGAGATGTATGTATCAGTGTGAAGGTCCCAGGTTCAATGCCCAGTACTGGGGGCTGGGGGAGCTGACTTGTCATTACTGACTGTAGAAGCTCAAAATTTCAGAATAAATTGGGCTTTCAGTAAGGAATTTCTTTACTGCTTAGATATAAACCTTTTCTTAACAGAAATATTCCATTTCCTTAATAAGTCATTCAAGGGAAAATGCTGTGAGCCAATTTTCAAGCAGTAACTCTATCTTATTTAATTTATAATTTGGTTTCTTTACTTACTGATCAGAATCCAAAAAACTTTACAGGGCTGTTTAAATTCCAAATGCTATATCTGTACAACTGAACTTCTCAGATAGTGTATGAATCAAGCCTTCAATTTAAACTACTAATTGAAGGTCAGTTTTTATATGGCTTACCTTGGAAAGTAGAACTAAAAGAAAATGTTTATGGGAAGATTTTACATTTTGATTATTTAGCACCCAAATAATCCAAATCAGGTTGTGACCACTTCCAAAGGCACATTTTTATCAAAATTATACTTTCTGGAAACTATATGTTCTATTCTGTGATGATACAAGTTATCTCAAAAAATCTAAAGACTATATTTGGTCTCTATGAAATTGACTAATTTGTTTCTTGGTGGTTTACACAGTTTATACAATTAGGTTGACTCACACAAATTTCATCACAACTACTGGTCTCTTGTACCTGTTAGACTTATAAATGCCTCCCACAAAGCATGATGAATATTCCACACCTGAACTTTTCTGACATGAAAATACTTTCATTCAGGAAAGCAGGACAAAATCTTTTTGCATAGTGTGAGCAAGTGTAGTGGGTTTTTATGTGTATGTGCGTGCACCTATATATGTGACTGAAGATCTTTCATCCCTTCTGCTGCTTAGCCATTACAAAGTAAAACTTTTCCCAGAGATAGCTAATAAAAAGAGACAGGACAAATAACTTGATAATGGAATCTGCATTTGGAATACTGTCCTTGTAGTTTCCGTTGAGCATTTTTGCATTCATAAGGGAAAATGGAGACAGAACTTGGGAAAACCATAAATTAGATTTGAATGAAGATGATGAATAGATGAATACAAAGTGCTGAGAAAACGTATTTGAATTTTCTGGCTTCAACTCTAATACAGTGCAATTTTAAAATAATTGCATTTAGCAGTTTCGATAAGAAATACACATTCTATGTTTAAGGAATAATTTTCTATTGTGAAAGTATGATTCTTGCAAAACCAAACATATTGCAGTGATTTTTGAAACAGTAGTGTTAGTTTGCATTTGATTCCTTAAAGGCAACTAACATTTATAAAATAATTGATTTTCAAGGTAATGTCCATATATTTATGTGTTATATTACTTTGAATATGAATGTCATTAGTTTCCAGAGGAATAAGTAAGTTGTCTAAAGCTAATCTCCTCTTCTTTTTGGTAGTTCCTCAAGTGCATCCCTTTTGTAGTAGGGATGATAAAGAATAAAATGAATACAGCCTAAACTTTGAAACTTGGACATAAATCCCCCCCTCCAGCTCTCCTGTGATGAACACAAAGCTATTTGGATTATCTTCATCTATGAAATGGGGATAACATCTTCTCTATCAGGATACTGAGAAATAAAATGAAATAATGTAAATAATGCAATATACTATTTGTCTCATTATAGGCACTAAATAAGATACAAAATGTGTGCGCTTAAAATATGATGTAGAATGTAAATATATTCTAATGAAATGCGCAATACATTTAACCCACATATAAATGAAAATTATATAACATCTTATTATACAATTTAAGTATTTTGGAACAATCTTTTCTCTGTGTTAAGCCAATTTGTGTCTATTCATATTTTCCAACTTTTTAAATTAGAAAAGGAATATTTCATTAGAGGAACACTGGGAAGTATGTTAGATTGTGGCCAGGAACTTTGCGGTTATGGAGCTTGGTTTCCAGCTGATAAGTGAAGGATGCTTAGCACTATTGGCAAGTTTTAATGATTAAGTAAAATAATGTATGAATGGACCTAGCACATGGTATGGGCTCAATCAGCATTTCACCTCAAGAATTTCCAATTCAGATGTACTCAGCTAACTTTATCTTATTCTGGAGGAAACACATTTCTATGAAAGTTCACACATAGGTAATTTCCAATGATAAGCTGAGTGGTGAGTCATTGGCAGAGGTGAAGAAATATGCAGCTGTCCTCTTAGTTAAGTTCCTTGAACAGTCACACAGGGTGCTGATAGTAAGTATGATCACATCACTGAGACACCTTATAAAACCAATTCCCGGTGAAATCAGGGAGCAAGCAGAGGTAAGCTACCTGACATAGTAAGAAGACGTGGGAAGTTTTATTTTTCGTATACTCCCTCTGCAGAGGGAAAGACAATCACAAAGGAGTTTTCACTCTTTATTAAAGACAATCACTTTCTATACATGAACATCCTAGTGTAGACAAGAGACAAAGAGCTGTGAGAGATATGTGAAGACATATTTCATTTTTATTATCTTTTAGGCATAGACGGATATGTTAATCCATTTTCACATACAATTCCTACAGTCACATATAGGGAGTGAATCCTGAACTGGTAAAACCTGTCTCCTTTTGCCAAAGAGTTAAACTGGAGATACAGAACCTCAGAAGTTAAAGATTGTGAAGTGTCTTCCTTCCTGGTATCACCCTGCATGTGGGTGCCATTATGGAAGTAAGCTTTCCTCTTCATCTGGCACTGATCTAATGAGAATAATGTTGTCCCCTCTTTTCCTGGCAAGGTTTCTGCTCTTGGTCCAGAGATCTGGATTTCTTTCTAGTTCTGACAACCATTAGTTAACCATTGCAAATGGAAGCAAATCTGTAACTGTAGTATATCCCTGTCTATCTTTCTATAAATCCTGTTGCTTCTTTCTGAAAATGTATCTTAGGAGTAAAACTTTAAACCTCTGATCTCTCATGCCAAAAGAAGAAAATAAAATAAAATTAATATGGAAGTAATCTCACTTTAGTGTTCATGGTTTATTGTGGAAAGCAGGTGTTTAAAATTTTTAGAATTTCTTTAACAAAATTCTAAAGAGAAAAGAAAAAAAAAATCACAGTATTTACAGAGATAACAGAATGGCTTAGCCATGCAAAACAATTAACTTTGGTTTTTCCCCCTTTACTTTGGTTTCAATATTGACCAAGATTCAATTTTTTTCCTGCCAAATAAAACTTCAATAAATCAAAGTTTAGAGGCAAAATAACATATTTTTCTTTTTCCCATATTTTACACAGCATTGAGTCTAATAGAATATTTTATGTATTTAATCCATACCAATGCACTACAGGAAACTTTTATTAAACTGAGTCATTATTGCTCAGACAATAAATGGTTTACAACTGTACAATAACATGTGTTTCTAGGTAATGCAGAAGTGGCAAAACATTATTCCTAATCTCCATCTGGCTTTAATCTTCAATTAATTTTTCATTGCCTTCATAATTTTTTATTCCATGAGTCTAAAAAACAAACATCAGTTTTCCTCTCAAAGAACATTGTTCTTTATCTGGAAATCTAATGTTCGTTTCTTTTTCAGTTAAAGTTATGTAATTTCTGGGACAAAAATGGCTGTGCAGTATTCTCCCAGAAACCAGGCACCTGCCTGAAAGAGCAAAGTTTAAAATTCTAGTCACAAGGAGCTATTGGCCCATATCCAGTCTACTTCAAAAAGTTTCCATTTATACTACCACCTTAAAAATTCCTCAAGCATAAAACATGTTTATAAAGTTACAAATTTGAATGTAACTAAAGATACATAGACATTTTATTATTACACTTTCATGTACTGCTTGATAAATTATGTACCAGTTAAAAACACTAAATTATCTCAAGGTGCATTCAATATCTGTAGCGTAGTTAACAAAAACACACACGAAAAAAATATATATTCTATATTCTGTGGAAAATAACACAGCTTTGATAATGACCACTGTTAAAAATCTCCAATTCTGACTGATATCCTCTTTTTAAAGGAAATAGGTATAATTTTAAGGCAGTGGATGACCCAAAGGATTTAACACCAATTTTTAATCATAGTGATTTACACTGTGATCTATGAAAATGGGAATGTTGTACATGATTGTTCCAAACTATCTCTCACACATGGGTTTGTTTTGTCCATTCACAAAAAAGTAATGTAGCAGGTATCTAAAAGTCAGCATTACCCAAATTCTGCATTATGTCTTTTTCAGAAAAGGCAAATTGTCAGTTTGGGAGCATAGTATTATCATGCGTGTGTATCCCTATGTGTCTGGATTTGTTAAGAGTCAGCTGGGGGCACTTACATAGGATCAGCTCAAATGTTGCTTAGCAATCTGACTCTTTGCCTCTTCCTCCTTTGAGATAAAAATCAGTTTTTCAGTAGGGAAATGTGTGTGTCTTAATCTTCACAAGCTGCCACCTTTGGGTTTTAGGTGCTTGTGAAAAAGTTTGGGGCATTACTGATAGCAATCAGAATCAGAAATGTACCTGCTCAGATTATCCATATAAACAATTGAAATCAAAACATTACATTATACATCAGATTAACAGCAACTCCCAGAACAAAGCTTACAGTGTATAAAAATAGCTACGTAAAAAATTTACATAAAAGGCAAACCAAAAAGAAATCCTCAGTGCAGACATTTACAGAAAAAAATTCAAACCAAACACAACATATGACCTATTATCATGGCTGCCAAACTTCTTATTTTTTAAAAATTTCATTTCACTGTTTTACTTGAGATAATTCTCTAAAATTCTGTGACAGCTTGGTAGAATGAACTGCTTAATACTTGAACCATGAATTGCTGTCAGTGTCATTGTTTATATCTTAAATACAATCCACGTTCATGCTTCAATTGGTTTATATATTTTTTCTGTGAAATGATAAAAAATATAATTTAGATGAGTTACCATAGCAATCATTTCCCACTATCAACAGATCCTTTGCACTAAACACGATAGGTCTTACTTCATGGTACAAATCTTCCATTACATTCCCTGTACCCCACCATAAGCTCGGCCATTACTAGAGCACTCCTACAAATACTGTGTTTGAATTTTTGTAAATTAAAAAAAAATATTGGTTAGAATGCTAAAACTTGGAAACAGCCCACTTGCCCATCAGTTGGAGACTGGATAAAGAAGAGGTGGTTTTTCTATAAAATGGAGTACTACTCAGCCATAAAAAATGAAAAACTGGAGTCATTCATTGGAAAATGGATGCATATTGAGGTCATACTCAAGTGAAATAAATAAGTCACTCAAGTGTAAATACTGAATAGTTTCTCTGGTGTGAAAAACTATAATTGTAAATAAGATCCTAATGGTATAATTGACAATGTGAAATAGGAAGAGAAGGGCTAAAGGTGTAGGGGAAGTGGGAAGGGTAGGGGAAAGGTAGTAAGGGAAAAGAAAAATATATGAGAAAATGAAAAGATGTAAATAAAGTTTAAAGGTACAAGTTCCCAATGATGAATATAACTGTACTGTATACTTAAAATGTACTGATAAACTCAATGAGGAAAGAAATATTGGTTAGATCATATGAAGATTATAAGGTGTTTGGGAAAATATTTCATTTCAGTACATTTTTCTTCAATTTATAAAATATACTCCTTCCTTTACACTATGTTAGTGGGATTTTTAAGTTCATTATTTTGGAGAAGTTACTCAACCCAATTTTGATGAAAATAAAAGGTAAAATCTACTTTTACAAAGGGTGAACAAAATAATCCTTTAGTGGTAGGGAAAAAAAAAAATGTGAGAATGCTGAATGGCCCTTAGAAGAAGGCAGAACAGGAGAAGGAATCCAGTTCTAACACTTTTTTTAAAAGCCAAGTTTAAGATCTTGATTTTCAGAGTTAAAAAATAATTTCACTTTAATTACTCTATTTTCCTGTCCTGTGTATATCTTTCCAAATACAATTCTTTGTCATGCCTCCTATTAGCACTTGGATGAACCACTCAAAATGTGCCTTATAGCTTATTTACAAGGCATTCAAGGTTTAAAGTAGTTAAGTAGTTGTCAGGGCTTTTTCCATCCCATTAGGAAGCTACAGTAACAGTTATTCTCAAGGACAAACAAATAATTACTCCAAATAGCTCCTTTGTTTGGTTTGTTCAGGGGAACACAAAAAAGGAAAAAGCTCAAGTTGCAAGTGGCAAGGCCATGGAATCATACTTTGGAACCCACTTTGGGGACCATCTTTTAAAAGATCACACAAATGAAACTATTACATATAAATATACATAATCCTATGCAACATTTGCATACATTATGCATATTTATGTGTATACATAGATATTTGCATATGGGGAGATCAAAATATGCAATGAATGCTTAAATTTTAACAATTTTATTATAGTAAAAATAGCAGGTGCATTCAAGGTCATACCTTTGAAATACACAAAAGAAGACTTCCTGGGCTGGGGATTTAGCTCAGTAGCACCACACCTGCCTTGCAGTCACAAGGTCCTGAGTTTGATCCCCAGTACCAAAGAGGAAAACAAAGAAGAGGCAATAATGATAGGATAAGTCTGTTAGAAGAAAGGGGAAGTGTTCTTAGGGAGATTAGTGGCAATATATCTTTTACTGTAAGAAATTTCAAAAAATTTATAAACATTAATTTCTATCACTTTATATGTGCACACATTTGCATACACCTATAAAAGTCTGTGTGTGTGCACATATGCACTAGCTTGTCAATCTGCTGTCTGAAATGATTTGGGAGGTAGTAGTGTTATACACTCACTTGTACTGTATTCTTAGATTAAAATACTTTTATTTTTAAGTTATTCTAATTGTTTTTTAAAATAAATTTGAAGACTCAGCACCCAGGGCGGGTGAGGCAAGCAGAATTCAAGTCTGAGTTCTGAAAGGGGAAGTTAATGAGACTCTTACTCAAATTTAAAAGAATAAATTTAAAAAATGGCTTCTGGAAAAAATTCTTATTGAACCCAGATAACAATTCATACTATAAATTTTCTTCATTTCTTTATATTCAGGGAAATTTCTGGCATTAGAAAACAAAATGAAAATTGGATGCTAAAGTCCCAAAATGATTTTTATTATTCAGAGGATAATTACTTAGGGAAGGCAAAGGAGATGACAGATTCCATTCTTCTGAGAGTGCTGTCTGGGTCATCAAAGCTCCCTTTTGAAAACCCCTCTCTGTTTGGAAGCTATAATTATAAAGCACCTGAATGTCCAGGCTTTCCCTTTCATTTCCAAAGAGGCTCCACATTTTCCAGGGAATTGTGTCTATGAACCTCATCCAGCCTACTTACCTGGACAGCTAGAACTGCTTCTCTCTTAGGATTCTGTTTTGTGATTGTTTTCTTCTAACTTTTTGTTTTCCTCTATATTACCCAGGTCTTTGTTTACATGTTTTGATGCAGTCCTATAAAACAATTAGATCAACATCATATTGACAGATGAATTAAAAACTTTAAGGCTCAAAGTAATGTGCCTCTGAAAAGGAAAGGTTTTGTAGACTGATGACTAGAGCTAACAAATCCACATCTCTGAGCTTTGACTGATGGAACACATTCTAGTAAACACTAGCTGGGTAGGGGGGTTGCATTAAAAATACAATAAGGCAAAAATAATAAATGATTTTGAAACAGTCTGCAAATACTTTTTTAAAGGTTATGGTTTCAGCTGGTTTGTTTTTCTCTCTACTCTCAGAGAATTATTATCATTTGATAAGTCAATATTTTTACCCTAGGCATATACTTTCTGCAAAACTGCTCACAGGGAGTTTCATTAAGTTCATTTCCCATTTGGCATTCCCCATCATGCATCTCAGGTGAACCAATGTTCTGTGTCTATATTTATGGACTATTTTATGAAATCAATAAAAAGCAAGATTATAAAGGCTTAAGTTCATAACAGAATATTGTCAAGAGATCTCAAATTGCAGTAGTGACCATACCAGTAGTATCAGAATCCCTACCACAGAGGCAGAAAATCTGGGAATGGCACCTCCAGGCTGTTTAACAGGACCTCTTGGTGATTCTGGTGCCTGCAGTTTGAAAACCAATGCTACTGGCTGCAGTGGTTACACAAATGCTGTTGAGACTTGTGTCTAGATGTCTCCCCAAAGCCTTATGCAGTCCCAGGTGGGGCTTTTTCAGAAGTAGCTCGATCTAGAGTGTGTGACTGGCCTGTTGCAGTTTTAGGGTCAAGGGCTCTAGGGTGTGAGTGCTCCCTGCCCTAAGTAGGCTAGAGAAGATATGAGAGATAGAAAGAGTTGTGGTCATCCCTCACTGCTTTTCTACCTTCTACCTACTAGGAACTGTTTTTCCTCTGCAATGCTACCCTGCCTAGGAGCCAGCTGATTATTGACTGAAATCTCTACAAACTGTGAGCCAAAGAAACCTTTTGTCCTTTAACTTTAGGTTTGGGTAGTTTGTCTCAGTACCCACAGAAAAGTAACTAAGACAAATGCCTGGGCATCATCCTTTAAAAATGCAAATTAGGTTTTCTTAATTACACAGGTGAATTTCTTGACTGACAAGTAATGTATTAACAGGACTGTATCAGTGTATCCTCTCCTATCTATGCTTCCCTCCCTCCATTTTCTCCGCTTTTCCTCCCACCCTTCTTCCCTCCATATCTCTGTTTTCCCTTTCTTTCTTCCTTCCATTCCTGTCTTTTAGAAGCAAAACAGGATACAATATGTACATATATAGTAATGTAGCTCTTCAAAATTAAAAATTACAATGTTTTTAGAAAAAGAGTTGTAAGAGAATGATGTATGTCCAAATAAGGTGAAGGCATGTGATTCATTCAAATGTAAACACTTATTATAACAAGCCCAAGTTGAATTTAATTTGTGATTTTAAAATGCTTAAATTAGCTTAAACTACAACCTCTATCTTCATTCTGTGGCAGAAAAGCAACCTCAAATCTGCCAACATGACCAGCTCCTATAATATGTGATAATATTTTATGATATAGGAATGTTAAAGTGTAAATGAAACAATGAGTGATAATGTAGTATCACATATTTTCTATATTGTACTAAAATTGTACACTAAAGTAAAATAACTTCATTTTCACATATTTTTTTCAGAAATAGATATAAACAAAATATATTTATATAAACTATATACATATGTACACTTGCATACACACAGGTATATATGTGTATATTTATAAGCATATGTACATACAGATGTATACATATGCAATTATTCAATAAATTTTCAAAAAACTAGATGGATGTATGCAACTAGCACTGAGCTTAGGAAACTGCAGCTTCAGATCATTATATTCTCTGGCAATCACTACTGCCTTTGCAAAGGTTAATCCAACTTGAATTTATTAAATGGAGTATTTCTTCTATTAAATTTAACTCTGTTTATGGCAGGTGTCTATAATAATATGTGTAGTTGCAGGGTTAAACCAGTTTATTTGATATTTCTCTGGTGATGGGATTCCTTCTGAGATTTCTATTAATATAATTTAGGCACTGTGTGTGTTGCCCAAGTCTCTTATGCTCCCATATGTCTCAGCAGTTCTTTTTCCTCTGTGTGCTCTGGTCTGGGTATTTTCTATTGATCTGTATTCCAATGAACTTCCCTGTGTTCTTAGTGATTTACTGTTAAATTCATTCACTAAAACTAAGTGCATAGCATTATATTTTTCAGTTGCAAAGTGTTTTTAAATGCACTTAAATTATCTATTCGATTCATTTCTTCTGACCATCTTGGACTTATTTTAATATATTATTCAGAGTAATTCTAATTTTATCTAGTAAATATAATATCCATATACCCATTCATCTGTACTGTTGTCTACTTTTCCTCATTATTGATTGTATTTTCTTTCTCTTTGCATATCCAGTCACTTTTCATTTTGCTTACTTTAGGTATAAAAACACTGCAGAGGCTTCACAGAATGTTCTTGTGCATCAGGTAAACCCACCTTTGATCAATTTACCCAATTTAATCAGGCATGTACTAGGTTGGGGTCCAGTCTACTTTTGGATTCCCTTATTCCTGAAACCCAACTCCTGCAGTCTTCTGATGAAGATTCTGCTTGGATCCCTTTCTTTTGCCCTAAAATACAGAAATATTCAGCTTTTTCTTCCAACATCTTAGCTCTACTCTCCAATTATCAGCCCACTGAAGCATCAGAATGTGGTGAATCTGTTTAGTGTCCTTCACTTCACCACAAGCTCCTTGAGAATGAGTACAGTTTTTATTTATATTTTACCTCCCCAAAATAGAAAATGATGACTGGACTGTGATAGGAATCCAAAATTAATTATTTACTGAATTGAACTAACCTACTTTATTATAACTTTGGACCTATTTCTTTCTCTTGTTCCTTAGTGTTCATCAATATGAAGCCAATACAAACTTAGCTACTTTTTTTCTAGAGAAATCAAACAGCAAGAACAATAAATTGAAATGACAGAACTTCAGTCCACTTGATGCATCCTGGAATTGCAGCAGCAGGCAAGAATTCCCCCCTACCACAGGCCCACAGGGGGTTCTGAATGCCAGGTTCCAAGTGACTTATGCTGTGGATTGGGCAGAGCAGGAGCTGATATTTCCATGGTTAAGGCCAGGGTGTAGGCTGAAATAGCTTGGCTTTGACTCCTATGTTATCACTTGTTTGGCTGTGTAGATGCAGGCTAAACAAGTTGTTCATTTCTTGGCTACATGAGTTTTTTCAAATTGCCACACATTAAAAAAAAAACTGGGCCTTCATCAAGCAGACTGGTGAGGACCACCCAGCCACATGGGCACCTCTGCAGCATACCCCCCCCATGCTCTTGGGCCTCCTGGTTGTGCCACTTCATGGATCCACACAGCAGAGGCACAGGTGGCCATAAAGGCCATTTTACTGAGCTCCAGAAGATAGAACAGAAGTGAATAACTACAATAAAGGTACACTAGACCTCCATAGTTGGTAAGTTGGAGGGATCACCATTATCCATCATAACTTTGAATATCATCAGAAAAAGGGCAGTGGGAACCTGTAGTAGAACCTTGCAGAGTTCAACCCTGCAGGAGGTCAGGGAGCTCAACTTGGGCCTTGCAGCCAGAATTCAGCCTGAATCTCAGGGGTCTGCCATCAGTTAGCTGAGACTAATTGAATTAGTTCTGCACATTGCTCCCCACATTGTCTATTGTGACAGCAGAGATATACCCTGAAAGAGCTCTTCAATTTTTTTTCTTGTTTCTTTTCATCATATTTTTAATTTTTAGTTTTAAAATTTTATTTTTTTCCATTCTTCAAATTCTTTGTCTTTTTTTCCCACTCAGTCTCTTGCTGTCCCATGTTATTCTTCATCTCTCTTTTTGTTCCTGTTCCTTTCCTAATTCAGATCCCTTCTCTCTTCTCTTCTCTTCTTTTTTCTTCTCTTCTCTTCTCTTCTCTTCTCTTCTCTTCTCTCCTCTCCTTTCCTCCCATATCCCCTCCCCACTTCTCTTTTTCCTTCAAATGTCATTAGTTTCAAAGGAAAATGAGTCCCTATTACTGCTGTCTTTTTCCTTCACTCAAGTGTCATTAGTTTCAAATGAAAGTGAGTTCCTATTACTGTAACGTTGTTCCATTCTTGTCTTTGTTCTTACACTCTGCTTTTTCTTCTTGTCTTCAACAGTTTCCTAGAGTTTGTGTAACCATCCTGTGTGCTCTGGCTTCATCCAAAACCTTTTCTTGTTCTATCTATCTATTCCCATTCTCCTAACTCCTTCTAAGTCACTATCCTGAAGGGTAAAGTTGCTATATTGAAGAGTCTATTCACTATAAACATATTTTGGGCTGCTCCTCAATTTTGATTTAATTCACATGGTTCAAAGATGATAGACTAATAACTATCAAAATTGGTCAATTTCTAAGCTGTGCTTAATGGTATTTTATTACTGATTATATCAATTGGGATAAACAGTTGTGATTGATTTAATGAGTTGTCCTTTCTGATATTATGTGTCTATGAGTTATTAGAGATTCAAAACATAAAAAGCAGCTATATAAAATCAAAGTACTAACCAGGAATTAAACCAAGGACAGCCCAACAACAAAAATAAAAATGAGAAAACACTTAAGCAAGACACAAAGACAGACTTCCAGCTCACCAAAGGCAAATTATAGGGAAAACGAGGTGGAAAAGTCTGACAATCAACCACCAGGACACACCAAACTGATAGCACAGAAAGTAATAAAAACAGATGACTGAGTCTTCAGAAAAATTCAACAGAAACAATTTCTGAGATAACTAAAGAAATGGTGAGCACTATGAAAGACATGATTAGAGACTCAAGAACAGAAACTGACAAAAACATAGATGATTCAGGACCATAATAGAAACCATGAGTGTCCAAAATAGGATAGAAATGGAAACGATGAATGCCCAACATAGGAAAGAAATGGAATCCATTAAAA